ATCATGGACGTTTCTATTAACTAAAGATAAAATGGCTTTACAAAATAGTAAGGCAAGATGCGTTTTAAAAAAGTCTACGGATATTATTTCCATGATTGTAGTACCGAAAATTTTTTTCCGGAAAAATTATTTTGGCGACCCCCCCCCGTCGCCAAAAAAATTTCGGTCAGTGCACCATTTTAGGGGTCAAAAAAATTTTCTGGACAACCAAAATTTTTCGGAACATAAGACAAATTTTCAAAAAAACACAAAATTGGCCACAAAATTGACTTAATTTTAGACAAAATTTTACAGAATTTGTCCCATTTTTTTTATTGAAAACCAAAATTGCCCAACTGTTTATCGAATATTGCCCGACTGCCCAACAAACTTGGGGGGGGCTACCGCCCCCCCGCCCGATACGCCTATGTCACTCATGCATAATATAAAGATTCCTATAGCAAACCCAGCCTCGTACCCAGGCGCTAAAAATGGGCACACTACAGTGTTTTTATATAGATCAGTGGCTCGAGCGCGCGGGGGTGCTTGGGGATGGGACCTGTGTGCATTGTTGTCTGCACATATTAACTTACCAGCAGTTATAGCCTCCTCCGCAGGCATTTCGTGGTTCACGTACTTTACACAAATTTTGCCCGCGAATCTAAACCGCTCAGTGCGATTTCTGCGGAGGAGGCTACAGCCGTTGCATGCCGATAGCATGGCAATCGACTTTTGTACAAGGTATTACGGTCGGCTCTCTGCGGTCGGCTTATATGTCTGAGATATGTACATTGACACATTGTTACTTGTTAGCATAATATGAAATAATCCTACCAAATACCAGCCTACATTCATATATTCACTTGGCTGTGTCATTTTTTGATAATATCCACAATTTATTTCCTAATTATATATAAGAAACGTTATGCCTTGTTTACAACATTATAATATTCGAAGTTGATAGTCCCATGCATAACTGTTATAATATATAACGTCGAACCAGTTTTTTTCATTATTTCATAGTTTTCTGACGGGATATATAAAAACATCGACTGATCATAATAAGTCGTAAGTCAATTAAAAACAGGGGTCATTACTATTAGTATTAGAATATAAATACAACATCCTTTGTATGTATATTATTACATCTATCGGTATATATGTATATTACTCGGGCGTCGCCGTTGATTGGAGTTGCTTTACCTTGATATTAGCCTTCAATATTGAATTAAGCAAACTTGATTATTTGAAGGTTGACAAACATACTGCCACAAAGTACATTAATTGGACTATTAATATATATATATATATATATTAATATATATATATATATATATATATATATATATATATATATATATATATATATATA